AAAATAGCTTAGGTAACTATTTAGGCCCTTAGATAGATACAACAGCCGAATGTCCGAGCCGAAGGTTCTGATGACATGTCGTTGCAACACTTTGCCGTCATGAACCAGATCATGTCTGAAATCCACACGAGACTATTTCAACTCCGGGTTACGCATCCTTTGTTTCCAATGCCTACATCAGAAGCACGGACTTTTTTTTAAACATCCGTTTTGCTTTTGCTTGGGGGTGCTCAGCTTCAGCCAATCGGAATTCCAGGGTTGGCACAGGTCGGAATGGTAGCGTTTACGGTTTAGGGTTTAGGGTTCCGAGCAAGAAAGTCGCATTGCTTGAGGCATTACCTATGGGGTCACCGTGGTTCCGGGTTTCGGGGCCTGCAATTGATTCCGGTCTCACCCTGCAGCACCGCCCGCATGGGAGATCGGTCGCCAGAACATCAGCCACGATGGGAATTACTGTACGTGAAAATACGAGTCGGAACCACCCTCCAATATAGTGATATAAAAGTCCATTATGCAATATTATGCATTTCTCCTTTCTTCTTGTTCCTACTAGTCATCTTGTTGTTACTGCATGTGATTATTGTTATGGTAAGTGCTATCGTGTAATGCTGCGAATTAGTCTTACGACTGTCATGAGTATCAGCAGCCGGGACCGTGACAAACGAAGTTTGGTCTTTCTTGCACCCTTAGGCCCTTAAGCCTGAACCCCCCCCCCCTCCCCNNAACCCTCAACCCTAAAGCCCTGAACAAGACAGCTGCACTAGGAACCTCCAGGCCCGAAGCCGACTTGCGCTAAAGAAGCTTTAGCCCCCCCACAACCGAAAGAAACCCCATCCCCTAAACCCCAGCACCATGCGCGGCCGGAGTTCCCGCGCGGAAACGGTGTAGTGGGAAAAAGGTGTCGGATGGCTTTCGTAACCCGGCGAGTTTAGGTTCCGCACCGGGGTTTTCGGGTTTTCTCCTCTAGCCCTAAGAGCCTGCCGAGAGCCCAGCTCCTTGCGCAGTCCTGCTCTGCTTCATGTCCACAGTCATTAGCGCATTCCACAGCAATGCTGTTGCGGTCGTCCATGAGTAATTGCATTCCACCGTCCTCGCATCTGAAGAAGGCTTTGGCCGAGGGCAACTCCTATTTCGAGAGCGTGAGATGAGGTTTCTTCGCAAGGCAGTCGTGTTTCCATTCAGCACATCAAGGTTGTTGGCAGCTCTCAGATCGATACAGCAGCTGCAATGTCAGCGAACATCTCGAAGAGTGTTTTGGCTCGTCGACTCATCGTCAGCACCATCACGGTGCTCATCACCGTCACCATCACTACCATCGCCATCATCATATTCTTCATCGCCGTTATCATCACCACATACACTCAGTAGCATCGTCTTGTCATTGTAGCCGTATTATGAGTCTTGGTACCACGCTTCCAATCGTCAGCAGCACCACTCTTGTTTTTTGTGCGCAGTTCGTGGTAAGTGTTCGGGAATTGATGTACTGGGAGCAGGTACGGTGGCGTGTGGCTCTTCTCGGCGGCCACATCCGGCTGCTTGCTCCTCTTGCACAGCCGCTGATGACGGTGGCCAAGGCGCAAACAGCGAGGTTCACCCCTGATGCTGAAGCTGCCCTCACATACTCGCACTTCACATGTGTGCGTGCATCGCCTCAACTTGATCCTTCAGCAAAGGGTCGCGCTGGAATCTCCGAACCATCCCATGCTCATGCTTTCTCCCTGCGTGACCTATGCACCACTTCGGCTCGAGTTCTGCGCTTTGCCTGTGGACCCTTCGGCTTCTGCGCCTGCTGTCTCTAGCTTGCGGACTTGTTCAACATGACCTTGGCCGAGAAGACGCGTGTTGCGCTTGTGGGCTTGGGCCGCGCTGGCCACTTCCACCTGCAATCCGTGGTGCAGCTGCCGCATGTGGTGCAGCTCTCTTGGGTTGTGGACATCGATGAGGAGAAGGCCCGGCGCATTGCAGCAGAACAGGGGTGCCGCTGGTCCACAGAGCTGCGTGAGGCGCTCGATGAAGTGGACGCAGTTATCATCGCATCTGCGACTGATACGCACTTCCCGTACATTATGGAGTCCCTTCGAGCCAACAAAGC